TCTGTCAGTACTGTGACCGTGTTACCGGTGAATTACAGCTATCATACCATTGCTGTGGTGAGCGGGCTCACAGGAGCTAATGTCTACAAGTGGGTTAGCCTGATAATGAAGGCCTGGGATACGAGGGCTTTGGCTTACGGGACTGCGTGTCAATATCTGAGCAATATTCACAAGTAATAGCGCACTGATTTGCGCAACATAATCAGGCATGGCATCAAGTGAAGCTGCCAGTGGAAACTTACAAAAAATAGACGGTTCCTAGGGTAAGCGGTCTTAGTCAACCGTTAGTATCGCGCCATTTCCCACAAGACTCACCATCGCGGAGCAGACACGATGAAATTGTTGGTGGACACTGGGATCTAGAGATATCCTTCCAATATTGGAAGGTTCGCCGCCATGTTGCGATGACTACCAGCAGGTCGATGATGATTTGCGAGATTCGAGTAATGAGAGAGACTACGGAGTAGCATGAGCTCATTCAAAGGATACTGAAGATGCTATAACCCACCACTACAATGTATGCTGAGATTGCCACAAAACCATAAACTAGAAAAGATGCCACATACATTAATGATGCCTTGTTTGATATGTCCAGAGGTCCATTACAGCCCTGTGTCTTGGTCAAGAAAAACTAAGTACCGATATTATGATCAGCGATGAGCGTTCACAATATCTTGACACCAACCACATTAGTTCCAATAGGTGTAAGGCCCAATCCTAGGGTCAGCGCTGTTAGCATACGGTATCCGCCGGTAATCGCAAAGACGCGTAGGGCGGAGAAGACTGATGTCTAAACATTCAGCTCGCAATTCTTGCAATATGGTGTAGAGCCTACCAGCAACTTGAAAGTAGCCGACAAATGCAAAGACGGTGATCATGATATTAAGGACTTCGCAGCTGGTAGAAGTTGAGATTAGCCACGAGTGTTAGGCAACATTGGACAAAATTAGATACCTCTGTCGCAGAAAATAAATAAGGCGACACTGCATCGATTAATGTACTCACCGTGTTAGACCAAAATGAGACGCAATTTAATATTGCGCTGAGAACCATGAACCAACGAGTCGAGAGGAGTAGTACGGAACTGGCGGTCCACTTCCGCCGCCATACCACTTGCACCTCCAGGTCCAATGTAATGAGGTACTCATAAATTGTTAGGGCTAAACGTTTATGAGTTTGAGGGTGATTAGGAACGCTTGTGCACTCCAATAAAACCTAAAACTCACCTGAAACTGCGTATGCCACACTGTTCGCCACTGAGTTCTCGCTGAAGAGTGCGATGAGTGTGAAGTTCAATGAAGATGCAGGCTGAACGGAATTCACATCGAGCTGTCAGACATGGTAGTTATCCTTCTCAGAAGGAGGGAGGGGAGGAACCTGATGGCTTTCGGTGCAGCATGAATCTCTAAATACAAAAGAGGCCTGGATACCGGATTTGTTGATGGGTAAACATGCCTCAACGCACCGCCTGTGCACATAATATTCCGTATCATGCATAAGACGTCTGATACTGATACGAAGCGACGTACTGACTTCTCGTGGTGAGGCAGTATCTCCAAGAACAGTGGACACCGTGCTTCTCGGAAGTATCAGCCGCTGACCTGGACTTCCGGCTTTTCCTGACGTTGCCTGACATCGGAGGGAAAGCTATGTTTCGTCCATCACAGCAGTCGCCGCTGATCGTATAAAGCTGGGATGTCTTCGCGAGATGGTAGGTCAGGGACAGCAGGAGCGGGGCGTTGCCACTAGCGCACAGCCAGAGGGGCGGCGGCCCGGATCCCCCCAAAATCGTTACAGCGCCTATACGAAGTTTATTCCAGATGATAGTCATGAACACATTCTGATATAATTTACTGATTTATTCTATTATTTATTTTGCTTCGGGCCAGGCTCGAACCTCGAGACCTTGACGTCTGAGTGGCTGAGCCCTGAGAGGTCTGACGAGCTTCGCCAGGGCACTCAGCGCTTCCAGTATCGGGCCGTTTTGCTGATGACTCAGGGAAGGGGCAATATACTCTTCACTCACCGAGAGCCTCCAAGGGTTTGACTCATCTCGTCTCACTTATTCTTACCTGTTCAATGCAGTATGTGTGGGGACTTACAGCGTGTAATCACAGAAGTGCTTTATCTTGTTGCTCATTCATGCAAAAAGGGCGCAAGCTTCAAGCTTTCAAGGTTTGAGCATCACGCTGCCACGAGGTAGCCCGACGGAGCATCGACGCGCCAGCGGGTACGCCAGCCTAATATGGAAATTGATGACGGCATACTCCCTCATTGGCTGGAGAATATCCGCCACCCCGTGGGAATTACCGTAGTCTTTTCAGGCCCGTCGTATATACGTCGTATATTCATATCTCCAACAGGACGTTTTTATGAATAACCGCGCGTATGCGCATCACTGG